GAGTTCACATGAAAACTACGAATAAACCAGCCATAGCCTTGAGCACTGAGCCATGCCGATATGTGCGCAAATTTAACGCGTTCAGTTGCTCTGGAGCGCCTCCTGTGGACGCGGATATATTTAAAAACGCCGCTTTTCTGCGCAGTTTACTGGAGCACATCTTAGCCTCCAGTCCAACAGCCATGGAGCCACAAAAAGGAAGCTTCTTTACAACTTTCACTGGTTTATTTAGAGACGTCGCCATTTTTACCCGGTCCAGTAAACTGCCAGCAGAGAGCTCCAGCAGCCAAACACTCTCCCAGCAAATCTTCCCTCCGTCTGAGGCAGTTTTTCAGGCGGCTTTAGACCTCCAGCCGGCCGGGGCCCTGCCCACGGCGCCGCCGGCCGTCGCAGAGCCGAGCTGGAGCCGTTAGAGAGACAAATGTGAGGCGCAGATGGAGAGGAAGGGGCGTAATTACCTATTAACGGCGCTGTCTCGGCATCCTCCGGTCGCCGCTGGTCGACGCTCCACGGTAAAATGGCTGCTACAACACTGGTGCGGATGACAGACCAGAGGGAAGAGGCGGAGGCAGCCGGGGAGAGAGAGGAGGGAGGCGGGCTCAGTGGCCCCCCTGAGGGGTGGGGGTGGGGAATAGGCAACTGTTTTACTAAAATCATAAAAATTGGGGGGAAAAAATTTAATTAAAAAAATCTATCAAGTATATAAAACAAGTTTTTTCAACAGAAACTCTTGTTAAAAAATATAAAACACAGAAAAAGGGGGCGGGGCTTGAACTATTGAATTTTGGTGCTTGTATTTTTTTCATTAGCTACATCATCATTAACCCATGTTGCAGTTATATATATATCACATGGATTTGATTCAGTCAGACATTGGATCCTGGAAATTTGTTGTATCCAACTTAGCTATGTTCCAGTTGCAAACGGAGAATGGACACAGATGTCAAAACATATTGCATTTTGGGTTTTTTAGGGTTCACTATTAGTTCTGCTAAATAGTCGCTTATAGGTGGTTACCAAAGAGAGACACACATAGTGGAATAATAACGTGAAGAGCAAATTTAAAGGGCTGTTGTATTTATCTTGAGAGGGACAATGGCCAGAGAATTTGTCAAAATTAGACTTTTAATTTTGGATCCTTTTGATAAACTAAATTTACCCCACAGATTTTATGGTTTTGTTGACAATATTGAAATTTTAGCATTTGTCAACAAACTCTAAGTAGCTAACCTAGCTAACTTGGCCAGGGACCGATGGGTCCCTGTCCATCCATCCATGTTCTGTACACCCTTGTTCCAGTGCTGGTGGTTTTGGGCGAGAGGCGGGGTCTGGACAGGTCGCCAGTCTGTTGGATATGAGTAACTAATGTCATGAAAATATTAGTTATTTCCATGATGACAATGATTTGTGACAAACCCTCCTTACCTATATACTCCTAGATCAGCAGTTTTAAAAATTGTTTTGCCATGTAAAAGTTTGAGAAAATTTGTTTGAACCTGCAGAATGATTCAGAGAATCCTGCTGAGTCAACACAGTGATGCCAGTTAAATCAGAGACAGACGTGTTTCACATGAAACTGATGATGGCAGAGGTCAGTTTAACATCACCGTGAGGCAATGCAAGTGTCTACTTCTCTAAAACGGCTTGTAAAGAGCTATTTTTTTCTAATTGGTTTCGTGTAACAACAAAAGCTTGAAAGATAACACCTCCATCAGATCTGATGTCTGCTTTGCAAAGCCGGTCAAGATTTGCAGACGCCAATCCTCCTCCTGGCGACAACCTGTGTTCATTTTTCAACGTCATATTTTCACCATGTTATTCTGACATTTAAAAACATTAAAAAAGTTCCAAATTGTATGTTTAATTCACAAGAAAAATATTTTGTTTACAAACTAAATGTTCAGCTCCAAACGAAATGTTTATTTTGCTAACTTAATATTTATTTTCCATACTAAACATTTCCTTTTCAAATTAAATATTTAGCTTGCTAGCTAAATAGCTAAGATGCAGTCAACTTGCTAATAGAATATTTAACCACAATATTAAATATTTATTTAAACTAAACATTTAATTTACTAACTAAATATTTAGATCCAAGCTAAATATTTGAATAATATGCAAATTAGCTTACTAATAAGTGGAAGTGGGATAAAAAAAAGTTGATTTTTGAGGACCTACATGCTCCACTGGCTACTAAATATTTAGGTTATATACGAAATATTTAGCTTGTGAATTAAATATAGTTTAGAAGGCTGACATATATAAATGTACAAATAGCCTGGAGAAAATAAAACTTTTAAAAATTGACTCCTGCATTGTTTTGACTTTGACAAACTAACAAAACCAAAATATTGCTTCTAATTTTTACTGTGTAGCTTTAAAAACTGAACGACAGACCCATAGATTGTTCAGAGTAGCAACATCTAACCTTCCAGAGATGCTGGTGCGTCAACTCTGCATAGCCACGCTATGAAGGACAGAAGCCATGTTAATCTGCTCTCTGTCAGGCGTAAAGAAGCAGGCTGTTTGGATACTGGAGGATTTGAAATAGGACATTTTTGACGCAGCATAAACTTATTGATAGCTTTGTTTGCTGTTTTCTGAGGAGGGCTGAGGACAGCTGCTGCTCACCATGCAGCCTCTGTTCTGTCTGCAGCAGAGATCCCCTCTGAGTCTGAATGTTTCCCGACAACACAAGCTGCAGACGCTCCAGCTATCCATGCAGTTACTCTGGATCAATCAGGAGTTTGCATGCTAGCTAAGCAGCTGGTAACCATGTAGAGCTGGAGTGTAACAGATTTATTTTCTATTTGCATGATCAAGCATAACGTTATGCCTAATCGTGTTTTGTTCCTCCTTTTTTTGCCAAAACATCCCTTATCTGCTATGAAATATAATAAACTATATAATAAATAAACAAATATATTGTTTAGTTTTATTTTGCTGCGAGTTTTTGTTTGTCTAAATCAGTTAACTTTAATAAATTTTAGTGTGGTTGTTAGTTTTTAAGGTAATGTCATTTTATTTTGATGGCACGTTTTCAGCAATAAGGCAATTCAATGAGTTAGAGGAAAACAACAAAACAAAATATTGAATGTCTAAGATAATAAGTACTCCACAATTGATAAACTAGAAAGAGTTTCTCTGAACTAGCTAAATACTAATCTAAATGAGTACTCCAGAATTTCTAAAATTAATATTAAACTAGACAGACAGACAGGGCAAGAAATGACACATCAGGAAAAATAAGCACATGTCGCAACATGCAAATAATAGACATGAGCCAGCAAAGCCAGTGAAATCAGAGGGTATGTATTTGTAGCCATGATGTGTACACCATGTTCCAAATTATTATGCAAATTGGATTAAAGTGTCACAAAGATTAATTTTTTTGTTGTGGTATTAAATGTATAGATGGTACTGTGTGTCAGGGCTCTTTGAATCACTATAAATAATTTCAGAGCTGCTTGATAAGTATGTCTGTTCAGCTCAAGTAAAGGAAATCTGCTTCAGAAGGATGTTCCACATTATTGATCAAGCCACAGGTTTCAAGCAATATGGGAAAGAGAAGGAATCTCTGCTGACGAAAACCATCAGATAGTGTAGTGCCGTAGGACAAGGGATGAAAACATGAAATATTTAACGGAAACTGAAGCGTTATCATCATACCGTGAAGAGATTTGTGGCTGATTCAGAACAAAGATGGTTTGTGTCGATAAAGGCATAATGAGGAAGGTTCTGTTAGACAAATCCATTGGATTAAGAGAGCAGCTGTTAAAATGCCCTTATAAAGCAGCAAACAGTTATTTGAAGCTGCTGATGCGTCTGGAACCTCAAGATGGAGGTTCTTTCTTAGGATTGCGGTGCATAAACCTACTATTGGGCCCCTAACCAGCTCTCAAGCAGAAATGGTCACATTGGGCCCAGCCGGACGTGAAGATTCATTTTCAAACAGACTTGTTTACTGATGACTGCTGTGCTACCCTGGATGGTCCAGATGGACGCAGTAGTGGATTGGTGGTGGACGGCCACCACGTCCCACCAAAAACCTTCTTTTTAAAAGTTCCAAACTGCAGCTTCTCATTCTGGGTGATAACATTCTTGTTTATAACAGAGTTCTGGTCAGTTTGGTTGCCAACCAGACCTCTTTTGTTTTACTGGGTTGACCTTCTCATGAACCATGACGGCTGTTGGGAAACATCCACTGCCTGCGCAACTTCTTGTTCATGTGATCCGTTCTTTTGTTATAGACGGAGAAACCGCAGAGTGATGGCAGCCATCTTGGAAAGCTCCCCCACACACTTACAGGTAGATATTTCTTTCCGGAAAACTTAACAGCCTCTTTAATTTGGGATAAATATGACCAGAGAAAATAAAAAATAAAAAATCTAATATTTCAAGTGGTGATTTAATTCATTAAGGATAAATAATTGTTCCAACCAACTTGAGGAAATGATAATTACTCCCTGAACCCGACTCTCGGTGCCGTCAAGGACAATAAAAAACTTGAACAGAAACCAGGAATAGTAATGAAATGAGCATCAAAAATAATGTTTAAATTTAAACTTATATTTTACAAAAATAAATAAAAAAGACTGAAAAACCGAAAACAACAATTACAATGAAAAATTCATGGAATTGCTTTACTGAGGTCCCCACAGCGCCACCTAGTGGCCTCCGCTTTGAAAAACAAAGAAGTCCTCAATGTTCCTGGTCCAGAACCAGAGAGACTCGGCTTCTGACCCACCCAGTGGTTCTGTAACACCCTCAGTTGTCGCCTTTATGAACCGGCCGGCACAAGGTCCAGTGATGCTCCACCGTGTTCTCGTTGGCCCGTTCGCTCATGTGAAGAACCCGCGTGTTTCTGATGGCGAAGCCCTGCAACACAGCAGCCCGTCAGCCACAGGTTTGATCTACGGAGACTGAGGACGGCGGTTCTGACGGACGTACGGCTTTGGAGATGAACTCCAGCAGGTTGACCCGCAGGCTGACCTCCTGCTGGTAGTCACACGGTCCAAACGTGAAGGAAACCTGGAAGTCTCTGCTGTCCATCATGTGTTTGGTCCACTTGGTGAAGCTGCTGGAGACGGATTCCAGCACCGACTGGACCTGGAGAACCAACGCAACATCTGCTTATTTCTCCTTCCAAAGAGCTATTGAAGGAAAATCGCTGTGGAACCATGAGATCCAAACCCAACAATCAAAACTTTCCTCTGAAAACAGTTCTGGACCGAAAACAGCAAAGGTCAGCTGGAAAGCACTGACCTCTGCTGGTGTAAAAACGCCATATTGGAAGATCAAACCAATGGCAACACAGAGTCACCTTCTTTCATCAAGACATAAAAGCAGAAAGAACGTCACAGTAACCTTAACCCGACGTTGTGACCAGAGTCTGCAGCAGTCATGTCGGTCTTGGAGCAGAGACTTTGCATGGTCTAGGGTTTAAATCCGTTTCCATGGTAACAGCTTTCCTCAACAGGTCTGCATTTCTGCCGGCGCATCCTGACATCAAGCTGAGCGGACGGACGCGCTCAGCGGTGCAGGAGGCGAAGCAGAACCAACAAGAGTTTGAATTAATAACGATATTCATCAATGTGCCTCAGAGCCGCGGCGCTCAACCCTTCAGTGAGTTTTAATTTAATTTGTCACATTTGAAATATTTAAAGCTATCAGCGCGTTGATATTAATGCTCATGCTGAATGAATCCTTTGGGTTGCCAAGCAGGGGCGCATCCAGCAGGTTTCTAAGGAGGGCTGAATGGGGGCCAGTGAAGGTCTTTTAATAAAAAACCCAGGCAGAAAATTGGAGAAAAGATTTGACATAAATTCATAAAACACATGACTAATTCTGACCAGTTTAAGCTATTTTTATTCTGTCTTAAGTTATTTATTAAAAGAAACACATGATATTTTTTCATGACAGTGAGTTTTTTTCCCTCAGCTGAAGGCAAAAGGATTTGGATCTTCTGGAAACATCTTGGTCAGTTAAAGAACCGCAGGTAAAGACAATAAAAAGTAAAATCAATAGCTCAATAATAATTATAACAATAGAGACGTGAGAGTGGAGGTGAGGAACCTTAGTGGTGATGGTGAGCTGGGTGATGATGACTGCCACCGGGTTGGAGTACTTGGACAGCTTCCTGGTGCTGGACAGCTCCACCACTTCCTCGTAGGTGTCGGTCGGGTACGGCAGCAGCGGCCTGGGGTCTCCCAGGCACTGGATCAGGGGCTCGATCTGGTAGAAGTCCGCCTCTTTACGGAGCAGCGCCATCTCCTTGAAGCCGCAGGGCAACGTCAGCTCCGATGAGCGCAAGAAGTTTAGGATGTAGCTGAAACGAGACGGAGAGCGGGTCAGACCCGGTTATGCTGGTTCTGCCCTGCAGCTGGGTCAGCCCTGTGTTAGACCGGGTGAGCCGTCAACTTTCAGTCCCAATCCCTTCACACTGGCTCTGGAACCTTTCATTGGTTCTGGTACTTTCCATGGTTTCTGGAAACGCCCAGTGATTCTGGTATCTCTTACTGGTTCTTGTGCTATTCACTGGTTCTGGTACCTTTCACTGGTAGTGGAAGCTTTCACTGGTTCTCTGTGGTTCTGGTTTTGGTTCTGTTACCGCTCACCGGTTCTGGCCCGGTAGAAATGTAGCTGCTTTAGACTTTATCACATCTATAGTTAATAATCGGGTCTTTTCTGACTTTCTAAACTAGCGAATGAGACCGAGGCTGTCAGAGGTCCATCGCGTTGTTCTGTGAGCTCACCGGAACAACGGGCCGTCCCGGTCGATGAAGTAGTTCCCGCGGGAATCTTTGACCATCGGCAGATCTCCTCTAAACATGGCGCCCAGCAGGGAGTCGGGATAGCGCCTCAGCGTGGACAGTGACGTGCTGTAAACGCAACCGCCAACGTTCAGACTCAGTGGCTCCCCCATCTGGACACAGGAGGAACAGCAAGCAAGATGTTTAGATGTACTTTGTCTCCATCTACTAAAATGGAGTTTGAATCGAGACACTAACTGTATATGACACAGATTTTATAACAAAAAATGGACTCTCTCTATTAATTTTATCTTCTTAAGGTACATTAACAAAAAAAAAAACAACAACATCGAGAAGTGGAAAGTTTATCCAAAAGGTTTTGAACGGTAATTTGTCATCTTGTCATCTATGTACCAGCTCCCTTCTCTCAATTCAATATTTGAGATTAATCAATAAAATATATTTCAAATTTGCTATTCAACTCTGAATGACCAAAAGGTGATTTAGCTGTTTCTTCCTTTCTATTTCGCCTTGTTCTCCTCATTACACCAACCTGCCGATTCTCTCTTCTTCTCGCTGTTTCTGCCATCTTACCTTTTGTTTCATATCAACTATATTTTTCTAAAAACTAGTAAACACACTGTAAAAACTAATTAAAACTAACTTCATAGACAACATCAGATAAAACTAAACAATAATGAAACACCATAAACTATGATCATGCTCAACAGCAAAGCCCAGATTATTGGTACAGAACCGCTGTACTGGACGGGTCAAGTGGACACACACACCATGTGACCCAGGTCTCCATTCTCCATCTGCCGCCAGCCGCCACCAGCTCCCTCCTCGGTTCACAGCGCCAACAACATCATCATTCCCCAGTTTCCACCTGCAACGGGAAGCAGAACGTCTTGAGAGACGGTTGCCATGGTAACAGGCTGCAGGCGGATCCACCCTGATTGGAGAAGGAGAACCCCAGCTGGCGAGTCCCTGATTGGGCCACAGATGTCTGTCGGTTGGTGAGGAAGAGGAGGGAGACTTCATCTGATGAAACCAGGAGAACCAGCAGGTCTCCGGCATCAGAGCAGCCGACACCAGCCAAGGGTCAAGGGTCAAAAACAGGATTTAGTTCATTACAAACTCTAAAACATGCAGCAGAACCAGAGATAACCAGTCCCAAAATACATCATTCATTCATTCATTTATTCATTGATGGATGGATGGATGGATGGATGGATGGATGGATGGATGGATGGATGGATGGATGGATGGATGGATGGCGACAATGAATGGATGGATGGATGGATGGCTACAATGGATGGATGAATGAATGGCTACAATGAATGGATGGATGGATGGATGGCTACAATGGATGGATGGATGGATGGATGGATGGCTACAATGGATGGATGGATGGATAGATGGATGGATGGATGGATGGATGGATGGATGGATGGATGGATGGATGGATGGATGATGGATGGATGGATGGATGGATGGCGACAATGAATGAATGGGTGGGTGGCGACAATGGATGGATGAATGAATGGCTACAATGAATGGATGGATGGATGGATGGATGGATGGCTACAATGGATGGATGGATGGATGGATGGATGGCGACAATGAATGGATGGATGGATGGATGGCTACAATGGATGGATGAATGAATGGCTACAATGAATGGATGGATGGATGGATGGCTACAATGGATGGATGGATGGATGGATGGATGGCTACAATGGATGGATGGATGGATAGATGGATGGATGGATGGATGGATGGATGGATGGATGGATGGATGGATGGATGGATGGATGGATGGCGACAATGAATGAATGGGTGGGTGGCGACAATGGATGGATGAATGAATGGCTACAATGAATGGATGGATGGATGGATGGATGGCTACAATGGATGGATGGATGGATGGATGGATGGATGGCTACAATGGATGGATGGATGCGACAATGAATGAATGGGTGGGTGGCGACAATGGATGGATGGATGGCTACAATGGATGGACGGATGGATGGATGGATTGATGGATGGATGGCTACAATGGCTGGATGGATGGATGTATAGATGGATGGATGGCTATAATGGCTGGATGGATGGATAGATGATGGATGGATGGCTACAATGGATGGATGTATGGCTACAATGGATGGATGGATGGATAGATGGATGGATGGCTACAATAAATGGATGAATGGCTACAATGGATGGATGAATGGCTACAATAAATCGATGGATGGATGGCTACAATAGATGGATGGATGGCTACAATGGATGGATGGATGTTTGAATGCTGCACGTCAAAACATAACCTGTTGGTTCTCTGTTGCGAAATCCCATTAATATTGTTGCCTTTTAGATTGTACTGACCCTTCTGGGCCACCGTAAGAAATACAGACGAATTAAATCATCCGCACAGACTGATCCCTTCTGGAGGTGTTTAAAGGTTTCTGTAAATATGAAGCTCTAACTATAAGTTTCTGACACTTAAGGAGAACAAAAAGCGTTAATTTTAAGATAATAAAAATAATAAAATTTAATTATTCTTCTTCCTCGACTTCGCCTCTTTTTCTTTAGTGTCCTTAAATGTTATAACTTGTATCCTCTTCGGTAGAATCAATGAAATGAAGCAGAGAGCGAACAGTTAGCAGCTCTTAGCAGGTTAAACATCGATTCAAAATTAAGCTTTTAAAAATTAATAAAAATTCTGTCGGGTCCTACCTGAAGCATCCAGTTAACTGCCAGCCTGCCAAACAGCTAAAAGCTGATGGCACACAGATTTGTTTACATCCTATTTTACCCTGCGGACGCCACTTCCGGCAAGACTCGCCAAAATAAAACCTACAAAGTAATACCCATGTCTATGGGTTGAACTGCCACTGGAAACAAACAAATTCAGACATTAAACAAATTCTTATTACAAATAATAACTACCATTAACAACAACAATAATAATAAAAACTATTATTATTATTATTATTATTATTATTATTATTATTATTGTCAATAATAATAATAATAATAATAATAATAATAATAATAATAATAATAATATATTATTACTATATTATTAGCACAACATAAAAATGTGCTAGAAAATGCCACGTAGTGCCTAGAAAAAACATAATGTTTCCCATTTAATAGCAAAGCCAGTTTGTCTTCAGAAGACCTGCTGTTCTGGCCTCCCGCCGCGCGGGGGCGCCTGCTGCAGTGAGTGGAAGCGGATGAGGTTTTGTTTATCTGAGTTTACTTCCTGTTTCTGCAGCTCGTCGCGGTAAAACGTTTCTATCTTCTACATCGTCCCATTCTGCAGAACTCTGGGCTAAGTTCTGGTACTGACCCACTTCTCTGGAGCTCCAGGTAGCCGCTAGCTCCGAACCGGAGAACGCCCTCAGCCATGGAGTCTGAGAACCCAGGAGTAGCAGACGGAACAGAACCTGCAGTTGAATCCAACGAGCATGATTACGCACACACAGCGGACACAACCGAACCGGAGGCAGACGGAACGCTACAGCCTTCCGAACCCCCGCAGCTGGAGCTCCCAGAACCCGTCCTCGGTGCAGAAGTGGACTGCCCCGGAGGCACCGAACCGAACCCTCCCACCGAGGACGAGCCCGCTGTGAGCTGTGTGCCGCGCGGCGGTTCGCGGCGGTCCAAACGGCCGGAGGAACGGAACTGCTGCTGCTGCAGGCTGCTGTTCCAGCGGCAGGGCCGCTCCCTGAACCGCAGGGCCGTGTTCACCTTCACGACCCCGGACACCGTCCGCTGGGTCTTCCCGGACTCCGAGGTCCACGAAAAGTCCTACCTGTGTGAAACCTGCGCCCAGATCATCCGAACCAAGGGCAAGCGCAAACAGAGCGGGAAGCGCTCGCTGTGGGTCAAGCCGCCCGAGGTCAGGAAGGTACGTATAGAACCGGTACCAGCAGTCAGGGAGGTTCAGCAGCGGTCAACCCTAACCCAGAAGGAAAGAGACGTATAGAACCGGTACCAGGAGACCGGCCAGGTTGATGGAGATGGAGACATTGGATTTCTAATTGGGGTATTATTACCACCGTAAAACGCAAGAAAATAAAGTATCTGCGTTTTATCAATCAAACTTTTATAATCATTGCAACTTTGTAAAATGAGAGACTTTCAGCAGCCAAATAAAACTGTTGCCTTCTCCACAGCAGTTCTTAAAGTAAAATAAAGTCGATATTTTTTTAGCTTTATATTATGTTGAAACATACCTGGAGTTTTGTCTTGATTTTTCGATTCATATTTGCTAAATCCTTTAATCTCCATGGCAACCTTTCAGCTGTAAAATGCCTGGTTGGACCTTTGCTCAGTCTTAAAGGACCAAGCTCCTCGTTTGATCTTCAATTTTAAAGTTTCCGCCTCACAGAGCACTAATCCACTTAGCTCCTTCAGACTAGCTAGCAGCAATTAGCACTTCTCAAAAATCTATAGATTTATGATGAACTCCATCCTTTACAAAAAAGCACATGTTCATCCCAATCAATATTTTCACCAGTCCTTTTTGAGGGTGTACATAATACAAAACAATCATTGAAAGGTGCTAAGAAAACAGCAACAAATTTTCCTAAGTATAAACTAAATAAAACTGTCAAAAATGGAGCATAACATTCAGCATGAGCATAACTTTATAAATAAATCAATACATCAAATTAAATAACAAATAATCAATAGTCAGTGCACCCTTGAGGCCCTCAGATTGACCTCCACGTCTCCAGCAGCTGTAGTTTATTCTCCCTTCAGTCTGATCGATGAACCTCCAGGTGTTTGCTGGTTCAGCGGATTTGGATCTGTTTGCAGGAGAAGGTGTCGGCGACGCCGGGCCGCAGAATGGGCAAGAAGAGCAAAGCGGCGCTGCTGGTCAGTAAGTCCAGCTACAAGGCGGCGCTGCAGATGCTCTGGTCGTCCAAAGGCGCCCGGAAACCCATGCTGGAGTTCTGGAACAAGCAGCTGCGGACCGAAGTGAGTCTCCGGGTCTGGGCCGTCCATCGGTGATAATATTTTATGGTCCAAATTGCCACATTTATGCATTTCCTACTGAACTGCATGGAAGTAGTTTGGGGTCAGGCATTGCAGTACTGCGCCTCACCATTGGTGGCGCTAATTCACTAAAAGTACAGTTTTCTTTATGTCGCTAGTATGCTAAAGTTAACTAAGCTGAACAAAATGATGAAAACTAAAATTAGAAAAACACTTTTAACTGAAATAAATAAAAACAGTAATGAAAGATGAAAAACTATAACTGGAACTACCTAAAACATACTTAAATTATATTGTTCGCTTTTGTGTTTATGAATCTATTAATTAGTCTTTTGATCTGATGTTTAGAAAACATCATGGGCCAAAAATGTTAAGAAACTGTGTCAAAACATTAGGGTTCCCCTGAGGCCCTCAGATTAATCTCTAATTTTTATCAGGGTTGTAGTTTAGTGACTTTTATCACTAAACTTCAACCTTCTGTACAATAAAACTATAAACCCTGACAATAAAAACATTCTTTAAACATCATTACTTGGAATTTATCGTGTCAACGACAAATCAAAAGAAATGTATCACGATAAATAATAAACGATATGATAACTGTGGATTTGTACCTCATTGTGTCTCTGCAGATGAAGGTTCTGGCCCGGCGGACGGACAGTCCCTTCCAGCAGAAGGTGTCGAACAGGAAGCCGCTGTCCTCCTTCCCGTGGCGGCACTGCCTGAACTGGGCCCAGCAGAACGCTCCTCTGGTCACCACCTGTCTGCGCGCCATGTTCCCCGACATCAACACACTGTACCGGAGCAGCCAGTGAGTCCTGCCACCCGACCCGACCTGGTCCAGTTCGCAGTTCTGGTTCTGAGCACTTGTTTCCTGTCTGTTTAGCAGCCAGCTGACGGAGGATCAGGCCATCACGCTGCTGGAGCGCCGCGCTGTGGTGGCGCTCGCCATCCCGCTTTTCACCAGGAACATCTGGAGGAACAACTTCCTGCAGGCGGCGCTGGGGGCGGAGCTCCGGCTGCAGGGCTGCACCGGCTCCGTCCTGGACGCGCTCAACACCATGGGCCTGTGCCAGAACAAGGACACGGTCCGGTTGCTGGTGCACCGGCTGTGCAACGGCAAAGACATGGTGAGTTTGGGCCGGACCGGAAACAAGATTAACTAAAACTAATGAAATAATGAAAATTGAAACTGAGAAAACATTTTTGTTAACTGAAATGAATAAAAACATGGTTTATATTTGCTGAAACTGTTACCATGTTGTGAGTTTATGAGAAATGCTCTCGACCAAAATCAACCAATCAGAGCCAGGAGGTGGGTTTTTGCGCTGGCAATCCCTCTCATGTATTCTGCTAACAGCACAGAAAAAACTTATGGCTATAAGAAAACTGTCTATAATAACTGCTAATGTAAATGATAACTTGCTTCAGCATTTACAACAAGGTCTATTAACTGCAGCTAGCAGGTTGTGATTGACAGCGCTAAGGTCCGCCTCCTGCCTCAGGTTGGTTGTTTCCAGTTGGTGCTCAGAACGTTTGTTTTTCAAAGATTATCTGTTTCATACTAAACTGTCCCGACATTGTGACATTTTTAACAATTAAGTAAAAAAATGTATTTTTGATCAGAGTTACAAACTGCAGCTTTATGATGCTATCTTTTAGCTGAAACCAGTGAAATCAAACTGGAGCTCAAGTTTGAATGACTTGAGCTACAGTAAGAAAAATCTTGAGGTGGTGATCAATCAAATCAATAATCTTTTATTTATCACAAAGAGAAATTAAATATTGTAACTCAGATCCTCTAGTCGTTTTAGATGCTGATGCTCCAGTAGCAGTCAGTCTTGCAACGAATCTAAGCAGGCCTCTGACTGAAAACTGTCTGACTGGGTAATTGTAGTAAGTTATGGAAAAAAAACTTGTAGCTTGCAACCAAAGCCAAAAATTTATTCATTAATGTTCAGATAAAAATAATAAAGCGTTCAAACCTTGAAGCAGAGGTTGCAGAGGTGAAAGGTCAGATTCCTTCCTCAAGATCAGCTCATTGTTTTTGTAGTTCCTCTTTTGGCCACATGGGGCGCCGTTCTGCCTGGTAACTGAGTTTTTCTCTGAAACAGGACGGGGATCCGGGTCTGATCCTCAAACACGATCAGCTCCAGGATGAATTGGAGGAAGAGACGACAGACGAGGAAGAGGAGCAGGAGGAGGAGGATGACGAAGATGAGGAAGAGGAGGAGGAGATGGTGATGGCAGTGGAAGAGGAAGTGGAGCAGGAAGAAGTTCAGGATGGACTGCAAGAGGAAGAGGAGGATGTGGCTGTGATGGAGAAAGAGGAGCGGAGGAGGAGGAAGAGGGCGAGGAAGATGAGGAGGGAGAAGAGGAAGGAGCGGCGGGGGGAGCGTAAGGAGAGAGAGGAGGAAGACGAGGAGGAGGATGAAGAGGAGCTGGAGCAGAAGAAGAAGAAGGTGGTGGTGGTCAGGCTGGGTCTGCTGAAGGGAACCTCAGAGGTGGGACGATCCGACCTATCAGCTCCCTAGCACATGCTAAGCCCCGCCCATAAACCCAACCCAGAGGTGCAGAGGCCCCGCCCACTTAGTGATGAGAGGGATTCTGGGAACTGTAGTCCAGCAGCTGGAGGGAAAACTGAGAGGGGCCCTGATGATGATGATGGTCTCCTTCCTCCACCTGCAGAAGCCTCTGGTCTTTCCTGAGGTCAGAGGTCAGCTGGTGAATGTTTACAGTTCTAACATCTG